CAGGGTAGGGGTTAAGGTTGTCATAGTTAGCGTTAGCATTTTTTGCATTGAAATGAATGAGCGGTCCCCATAAGGATATGTTTACCCTACATGTGTGTGTTTGTGTGTGTGTGAGTGAGATAGAGAGAGGGTTCATATAGGCATAGGGATGCTAGACGTTGTACCTGCAGTGTGTGTGTGTGTGTGTATGTGTGGATTAGGTTTATATTACTTTTTACCATTTTTCAGGTCCCTACAAAGATCTGTGACTGCAATGAAAAAAGTAAAAATGCCAAAAGTATTTTGTTTGGTTACTTACAGGTTATGGCTAGGTGGGGGTTAAGGTCGTCATGTTGTGATTAGAGTTTTCCCCATTGAAATGAATGGGGAGTCCCCACAAAGATATAATTACAAACCTGTGTGTACCCTCAGAGGTAATGCTGAGGTTAGAGAACTGTAACCAACAGCCTGTAAATCAGGCAGTGGGAAGAGTACTGAGTGTAAGTAAAAACATCACAAAAGATGTGATGTAACATATGTGTAGCTCAGAAGGTTAGAGATCACTGCTCATGTTCGGAAGGTTGTGGGTTTCGATCCCATGGTCGGCAGAGTAATCATGTCTCCACTGGGCACTTGAGTGTGATCGTTATCCCCGGTGGGAGCGCTGGCCAGCCCAGGTCTCTGACCCTCAATCATATGTCACTCTGCACAAAAGCGTCTACTAATTATATAAACATAGGTGTAAGTGTTGAGGCGAGCTCTGTGAAAATGCCCGTGGAGATAAAAAAAACGCTACGGCTCTGGTGTGGATTCAGAGAGAGGTATGCGGCCAGGTCTGGCGGGAGCTTTCATCATGCCCTACTGATAGATCTCCAGCCCTGCAGCTACCAATCCATGCGGATGCCAGACTAATGATTGTTTTAAGGACTTGCGTGGCCTCAGCCGGGTGGATTTGGGTGACAGGCGGTGTGGGATGTTCTGCGGCGGCTGTGAGGGTCACATGATGCCCATAAAGGTGTTCTGCTTTTCTCTGCTTCTGTTCACCTTCCGTTAGTTGTCGAATTGAGACCCTTGTTTCCTGTGTCTCTGCCACCCCCTGTAGGAACTTCTACTACATCACGCTGCTGCGCGACCCCGTGTCACGCTACCTGAGCGAATGGAAACACGTGCAACGAGGCGCCACCTGGAAGACGTCGCTGCACATGTGTGACGGCCGCTCGCCCACGCGGGACGAGCTGCCCACCTGCTACCAGGGCGATGACTGGTCGGGGGTGGCCCTGTCGGAGTTCATGGACTGCCCCTCCAACCTGGCCAACAACCGGCAGGTGCGGATGCTGGCCGACCTCAGCCTGGTGGGCTGCTACAACCTGTCCTCCATGAACGAGAGCGAGCGGAGCCGGACCCTGCTGAGCAGCGCCAAGGCCAACCTGAAGAACATGGCCTTCTATGGCCTGACCGAGTTCCAGCGCAAGACGCAGTACCTGTTCGAGCGAACGTTCCGCCTGTGCTTCATCTCGGCCTTCACGCAGATCAACAGCACGCGCGCTGCCGCCGTCGACGTGGCCGAGGACGTGCGCCGCCGCATCGAGGCCCTCAACGGCCTGGACGTGCAGCTCTACGAATTCGCCAAGGACCTCTTCTTGCAGCGCTACCAGTTTGCACGCCAGCGGGATCGCCACGAGGAGCGCATGCGGAGGCGTGAGGAGCGGCGCCGGCTGCGTGAGCAGAGGGCCTTCCTTGCCAAGCACCGCCAGGGGGCGGAGCCGGATGGGGCCGAGGTCACCACCACCCAGGACTATGCGAGTCAGGTGGCATGCTGGTGATGACATCACCGCGCCGAATTGCAGCCCCTGGAGGAAAATGGGGCTAAAAAGAGACCAGCACTACCTTTATCTCTCTCTCTCTATTTCTCTCCCTCATCACACTCTGTCATTCGTCCCTTTTCACTCACCTCCAGTGTAATCTGGTCTCTGATGTTCTCTGAAACACCCCAAAGTCACCAGTCCTGTGGCTCGCACAGTAAATATACCTTGGAGCATCTCTGTGGTGTCTTAACGTTTAAACTGGGCACACTTAATTGGTTTACATATTTCTGTGTCAGAATTCCCGCTGCAGCCATTTGGCATTACGGTTATTATCATGCAAGCGTCTTTACATACGACAAAGGAAGATATACCATTAGATACAGCAAAAATAAGCTGAACATGTACTTGTAATAAGAATTTGAAGGACTGTGGGTATCAGGCAGGATGCAGGCAAATATCTAGCCAAAAAAATCCCATTCTTTTAGGTGAATCAGGATAATTGTAGCTACATCTGTTGTTCGTGTTTGTGCGGCAAGTTTCATAATGAACAACGAAAGGAAAAATTTAAGTCGGCGTTTACCTCATGAAAAAAGAGAACAAGCTTAATTCCAGCGTCTAACTCGCTGTGTAAGTATGAGGTCCACACGTAAAAACATCAGTTTCACAACCTGCTATTTTAAGTTTTCATTGATCGATATAATTATGGGTTAGAGTTTACAAGAAGCAGAAACACAAAGAAAAATTATGTGTGGTAGCAATTCATGAAAAAAAAACCCAGCGCAGACCTGAAATATTTAGAGCAGCAACCCAGAAATGGGTGTCACAAAGATAAAACAGAGTCAGAATCTCTAGATGCGACATGTACATTTGAAACAGGTACTTAGTGTCAGCCGGGAGGTTCTGCACTCTGAGGTCTTTAATCTCACGCAAGTCTTTGATGGCTTAAAGACACGCATTGCAGTGTAGGTACGTTTGTCTTGTATATATTAAGGCACAATCCGAGTGCAACACTTTCTCATTTATTTGCAGCCTTTGAGCTGCTGTAAACATTGCAAATGGAGGCAAGAGGAGACATTGTGGTTCTCGCTTTTAAAGCCATTCTTCTCAAGTGTTCCTTTAGGGCCATTTTCAGTAGTAAAACAATGTTGATGACGTGCTGATATGCAAAAAACACCTGAGGGGGGCCTAAAAAATCTGACACAGTTTAGTTTAGCAGGTCTCTGTCTCACCTTTTGCAAGTTCCTTCTTTTAAAATGCCTAACTGTCCCGAATGACCCCGCAACACTGGCATTCTGTAACGTGTCGTCAGTGAACGAAAAGAATGAAACGTTAAATGCCAGCCTCGCAAGGCCCCCTGGAGAATCTGTGACTTTATGGTCCCAGGGTGTGTGCTTAGGCGTCTCATCTACCTTCCCGAAATGACATATGTGGGATGAACCTGCAATGGAAATGGCGGAGAGAGGCCTGCGGAGATGCCAGGGGATCATTATTGTTATTATTATTTTTATTATTTTCTTCTTTATTATGGTCATGAAATGAAGGTCGTGTAAAGTGCGCTTTGTACCCCTTGAAGCCCAGGATTTTCCGAAGAATCTGCTGCCATGAATAGACCCCTCAGATGCTCGGAGCCGTGGAGACTGGGCAATCGCCGGCTTGTGTTCCAGCACCATTTGCATTATATTAGAGTTAATTGCCACTTTCACCTGGGTCACGCGTCTGATTTAGCTATTTCAGGAGTTAGGCTTGGTGTGTGAGAGATGGCAGATGCCCTGTATCGCACTACAGGGGTGGCCCTTCTGCCCCATGCCTGCCATGCTAAAGTCTCAGAGATTTACGTTTATTTTTGTTGGTTTTTGTTGGTCTCCTATCATGGAAAAATCTTCACCCGCATGAAGGTCAAATGAGGCATAAATGTTCCGATTCAATTTTGCTCGAAAACAATGCAGATTTCATTCGAGTTTTTCAAAGAAAGTAGAGACCTTGCACAATTTCTATCCCCTCACCGGTGAATTTTAGGAACATGCTGATATCCAGGTAGATGCTGACAATATCCCTGGTAAAGATGCTCTTGTTTCCAAAACAAGAAGTTTGTGGCCTTGTGGATGTGTATCTATATATGATAATGTGTGTTTCTCCATGTCAGTGTGGTCGTCTTCCTGCTTATGTGTGCCTATGTGTGTGTGTGAGAGTCTTTGTGTGAATGTGTCATATCTATTGAAAAAGGGGTCTCGCAGGCCGAGTTTCGTAATTTCCATTCTTCCATAGCTGGAGTTTGGTTCCTCGGAGCTACGACGGAAAGTTCCCAAAGAAGGATGGAATTTTACACACCTGATACTGTCACCACACTCTAAATGTTTGGTCTCTAACGTAGGAAGCCCAATACACATAGTCTAAGCCGGCTGCAGCCCCGGTGAATGCTGTCAACAGACAGGTCAAGGGATTCACCACATTTTGATGAAGCGATTCCAACACAAGGTGCTTTTTCCTGAATGGTTGGCATCAAGATTTTGTTACTCATGTAATCTGTGTTTGAGATCCACCTGGAAGACATGTGGCAGTTGCCTCTTTTCTGGGGGAAAAAAAAGTAAAAAAATAAATAAATAAAAAAACATGTCTATGTTAAGAACACATTCTTCAGATATCTACGGTGTGGCCACACAAAGTTCGGCCATTTCAAAGTTATGTGTGAGTCTGTATGTCCGCATCTAAATGATTGTTATGTATACAAAATGGAGGCCCCAATGCCACTCGGTGTTGCTACTTATATAAGTGATTCTTCTGACATATTTGAAATGCTGACTGGATCAAAATATCAAAGATGTTATAAATAAACAAAGAAGGAGAACATCTGCAGATGGTCCTCGGTGGTTAATTGGAGCCTCTCAAATCACATGGAACCAGCATTTTTTACTTGTCTTGTGGAAAATCAAACAAAACAATTGTTTTGTTAAAAGCGATTCCTTAAATGTATACATTTAATTTAGAAATCTTCTAAATCTCATCTCAGTCAGAAACATAAGGGTTCTTAAAGAGACAGGTTTCTAAAACCGTTAGAGGCTCTCTGTCATTATGGATGTAAGGTACATTTTCACTCTTTATATGAGACAGAGAGACCAGACTTTTGGGTAGAGAGTGAAATGTCTGATATTGTACATTTGCTTGGCTTGCCAATCCACTTGTATCATCAATAAAATCTCCCATTCCATCCTCCACTCTCTGTGTCCCATGGTTCTGCCCCAAACGATGAGATTTTCACTCCCGGTCCTGGTCTTTCCCAGAAACTAATGCTGGCAAGTCTTCACAATAGGAAGGCACAATGACCCCTGGGGTGAAGCAATATCAGGAATGACCCTTACCCACCACGTCAAGCCAGTGTACGTCAGGATTACATCCGGGATGACACAAAGGTCACAGTGATGCAAGCCTCGACCTCTGACCTCCCGTCCACTAACAGTGATGGTGCAGGAAATTCGACTAACTAGATGTAGACAGACCTACAATGAGAGCAGTTTCAGAGGATGCTGCTGGGCAGAATCGGCATGGAAAAGAACTGGGTCACTTTGGTCAATTAACCTTGAAGAGGTGAACAGAGTTTCAGAGGGAAGAGGTTTACCCAGGAGTTAAGAAACTTTATCTGGAAAAATGAACTCGCTTACCCATAATACACCTTATTACGGGAAAAAGCGCATCCACAAGCATTAGGATGTTTTGTTTTCACTGAAAATAGCCAAGAAGAGCAGCTGCCTTTTTAAAAAAAAGTGTGAAACATCATAAAAACTGATGTATGGTAGTTTGATGAATCTGCTGTCCTGCGGTCAGGGCTGTAAGCGTAATTGACCCTTTATATGTCCATCCTGACTGTGTGCTGTCACTCCAGTGCATTTAATGCATCCTAACACTCCAGCCGCCATCATACGCAAGAGCAGCGCCATGGTCGGACATGCGTGGGCGGCACTGTCGTCCCCCGCAGGGCCGGGTGGCAGAAATGGCAGCAGATCGTGAAAACATCCCGAAGCGAACCAGAGGTGAAGCTGCCACTGACCGCCGCTGACGCCTAAGACTCAAAAACTGCAACAAAAAGTGCTGACGTATGTGGCTGCCTGCCTTTTTTTAGCTTGCGAAGTGAGCAGAAATACGATTCTGCAGAGGGGACCTTTCACAGCCGTAAACAGTGACTCACTGTTTCCTGCTCAATCCCGGGGTCTTGCGTGTTTCGGGGGTCTCGTGTGTTTCGGGGAGTCTTGCGTGTTTCGGGGGTCTCGTGTGTTTCGGGGAGTCTTGCGTGTTTCGGGGGTCTCGTGTGTTTCGGGGAGCCTTGCGTGTTTCGGGGGTCTCGTGTGTTTCAGGGAGTCTTTGTCTTGGTCTTCTGCCAAGTCATTATCAAAGCTGATTTTGTTAAATACAAGAATATATTCATTTAGGGCTGCATTCTTGAAACAGTACACTTTACTTTTATTTAGGAATGTTAAAAATTCTCAGATTAGATTTGCTGTAATATCTGAAACATTATTGAAGTTCAGCAGAAGTGAGTAATGAATGGCTCATTGTTGCCTCAGCCTTTCCTGAGGCTTCAGCCAGAAAATAAAATGTGTAGCAGCTCATCTTTCCTACTTCTACACCTTTGGCCAAAGAGACAGCACTTACACCGCAATCGAAACTCCATTCTCCTGCTCTTTTTTAGGCCTAGAAAAGGAATTATAGAAGATTAACTTGCAGTTCACTGATAAAAGACAAAACAGGTTTTACTACCTTGGTGTCTGGAATTATGGCTGTGTTCTTACAGAAGACCCAAATATGCTCTTGAAATAAATGAGGAATGCAAACCATGGGCATTAAGAGATGGTTTTGGAGTATAGTATACATCACAACTACTGCTGTATCCAGCACAACTGACCTCTCAAAATGTTTTTCAATGCAGTTTTATTGTTGATTTGAATCCTGTCAAGTCTTTCAATTCCTAAATCCCAGAAGACCCATTCTGTGCAAACCTGCTCCTCTCCAAACACTAGCGTGACGTTCACCCACGGGAAGCTATAACAAGACATAAAAACTGCATGGAGTTTTAAATATTTAACGTCATTGTACATGGAGAACTGAAAGCCCTTATGAGCGTCATTCCCTCTGCGAACAGCGTACAAAACTCTGCGCAAGCTTATGCTTTCTGACAGTTCTTAATTTACAGGGGAAATCTCGAAAGTTGATTAATGTTACAGTTCAAGGTTGGTAGCAGTTTTATTTGCAGGAAAAGGTTTAAACTGCGATATAAAATCAGGATATTTGAGAGGGATCAATTAAGAACATAAAAAATATTCAAGTAGAAATTGAATATATAAAAGCAGACAATGTTAAATAACGTGTGTAAGAGCAAAACCACATGGGATGAGGCTAGGAGGAAGGGCCAGGGAGGAACAAAAAACAAAATCAGTGCTGAGTTGTAGATATCGTGAAAGGGTGCATGTTCTGGGGAAGAACAGACACACACACACACACAGGTTTGTAATTATGTCTTTGTGGGGACTCTGCATTAATTTCTATGGGGAAAACTCTAATCCCAATATGATGACCTTGGTCCCCACAATGTAACATAAACCTAATCCCCCCGCCCCCCACCACACACACACACACACACACACACACTGCAGGTACTACATCTAGCATCCTTATGACCAATCTGTATGGTTCCAAATTGGACCACTGTGAAACTAATTCTTGATCAGGGTGTGTAATAGTAGGCTTTGTTCTGACAGCATGAGGTAGCATTTTTAATGTTGTATTACAGCTCACACTCATGAAGTGCTGAACACTCTATAATGATATGGTTTATAGTGATGCAGTGTATTGTGGGTAATTCTTGCACTTTTACTTTCCATAACTGCTAATAAATCCAACATAGGCCACAGGCACTCTGGAGCCAATCCCAGGAAATTCAGTGGTACGATACTGGACTCCAGTGGACACCAGTGCACAACCACACAGAACACGCAAACCGTCACGGGAACATGCAAACCGTCATGCAGAGCCGGGGGCAGGATGAAGTCTTCTAACTTTGGAAGCACAGTGCTCCCTGCTGAGGTGACATCCCTGTTGCCTGACTGTTCCTCCTTTGATGGTGAAGATCTCTTCACAATGGTGTGACTTGGTCTTCATCAAAGGTTTGAACTGGCTGTACCTCCAAAAAGGTGAAGATGCAGGTGTCGCATTAAGCAAGCACCCCCCTCCCCCACACTCTCAACCAAAGGATACCTCAGCAGTGCCCCCTGCTGGACAGGCATCTCTAATCTGCCCATAGTGTGTGCAACAGAATGGACAATACAGGGCTATGGCCTATGCAGGGCACAACCCTGTGCTGAGTGCATGGTCAGGAAAGTGAAGGAAGGATGGAAAAGATGGTTTAAAGAAATGTAACTCTACAGAAAGACTTAAAGGGTAATGTTCATTAACTGCACCTTCAAAATGCCTTTTTAATGCATTCATAAGCAGCATGTAAGTATAATGTAGCACCCTAACATACCCTGACTGCTTTATATACATTAATAACAAACATTATATGATAGTAACAAACAATATAATCTTATAATGTTATTAATGTATATTAAAGCTGTTAGGATATGTTAAGATGTTATGGTATATTTACATGCTGCTTATGAATGTTCTATGAATGCATTATGAAGGTGCACTGAAGGCTCTATGAATGTATAATGAAGCAGCAGTTAATGTAAAGCATTAAAAAATTAGCAATCAGTATTTAAAAGCCCTGCATAACATTTAGCGATGTTAATTTCTACCTCTGTGCAGTAAAAATTCATTGATGCCTGCATCCATTTTCCATACCATGTATCAGTTGTTCCAGGGACTGACTGACCACTTTCTCAAAAGCAAATGTTTGTCACTTTGGGTAAAAGTGGCTGCTCAGTAATAAGCGTAACGTACCCGTGCAGCATAGGGTCCCAGTATATCTAACCCGATAATTAATATATTTATTAATATATGATTAACGGTTGCCCTATTATGCCATTTCTTTGATTTTCCATTTTCATTCTGGGTAAAATTGTCCCAGTCTCCTTGACAGGGGCGCTGGGTACTGGGTGAGTGGAGTGGCGCTGCTCTCCACCATTACCGCCTTCGTCTCCATTCAGACGCCTGGAAGCTCATAGCCATTACATGTGATTATTTTGCTCTGGTGGATCATAATGGATCAAACTCGTTTGCTTGGACCCTATAATTACTCTCATTTGCCTCTGTGGACGGAGCGATTGGACCTGCTCTTGAGGCAGGGAAAAGGCCATTTTTTATTGAGGTGCTGCCTCATTGTGTATCTTTCAGAAGAACGGAGAGATGTTCTCCTGCATCTCATTAAAAGGGGAGAACTGCGGGCAGATCTGTCAAGGCACATGTTTAATATCCGGGAAGCGCCTGGTGTTGGAGAAACAGAGCATCTTTTAAGTGTCATATATTTATTTATTTTTCTTATTTTTTTGCTGAAATGGTAGAGGAGGAACGAAGATCCTTTATCGTCACGGTTGCAAATTAATTTTTGATAGGGAAACTATCAGATCAGGATCATGAAGACAACTGATTCATTCTGCGTTACATAAAAGCCAGTGTCTCTCAGCTTCATTTGTGTCACAAACACAAGTTACATTTTTGGTTATAAATTATAAAAGATCATAAAAAATATACATACTGCACACTAAAACTAAGCATATGGATATTACTCTCTTTTTTGCATTTTTATAGGCAGTGGAGCCAGCTGTTCTGTCTTGCATTGTTTGATTTTATGAAATGAACGTGAATTGCATATCAAAATCTTCTTTGAATGTAAGACACAGAGCCGCTCTTTGGTGTCATG